CAAAAATTCGAAAGGTACATAGAAAACGCAAACAAAAGTTAGACTAAGAATTAAATATAAACAGTAAAATATAACAGACGTTTCCACCTCTCTTAGGTCATTTTCAATGTTTAAACGTGTAAAATATATTAAAAATTATGCATTACATATAAATTTTTCAAAAAAACTAAAATGCGAGATGGTAGCATTTTTAGCGATGTTTTTCGTCACAAAATAGTGTCGTTGTTGTGAGTATTAAAATAATTGTGTAGAAGTTACCAACTTTAATATAGAGGTGCCAAGTTTTTAAAAAAGTCAATGGATAAATCTTCTCTTTTTCTTCATTGTCGAGTAGTTCATCATTATAGCAAGTCTCATAGATAGTATGCCAATAAGAAAGTCATTCTCACTAACAAAAATGGTGAGATTGTAATGCGGAACTACAATTGTACAATATAAAATAATAGAAGTTATACTACACAATACAAATCCAGATACCACATAAATTCACATTCGTTCGACATATATAAATACCTATTTTATATGAAAATGACTTCAATATTAGCAATCAATGTTGTTGAATCGTCCGTATAATATTAGAATAAAATCAAATAAAACATTGAATAAATTTAATTGGTTATAGAAACTTAAAACAGCGATATGGAACAAATGTTGTCACATGAAGACGATATAAACTAATGATGACTTTCAGAAAAACATATTGGAGAAGGAGAATTGTAAAAAGGGATATAATGTTGTAGGAGAGAAGGAAGAAGAGGAGAAGGGGAAATTAAGAAGGAGAAAGTGATTGTATTATTTGAGAATAGGTGTCTGGCAAATTTTCGGTATCATTTTGTCTATTTATGCCATGTTTTTGCTTTTTAATGTGGATCATTTCAGATATTAGTCTTTTATTGTAAGAAGCTTCATTATCTAAAATTTTTACTTAATTCTAGGGATGTGCGATCTCGATCCGATCTTTTTAAAGATCGATCTTTTTGCAAAAAAAGATCGATCTTTTAATCGATTCGCCAGTATCCGATTTTAAGGTAGATCGATTAATTTAATAAGAGATCGATCGTTCTTCGAAGCGGGCGGATTCGAAAATTTAAGATATATTTTGATATATTATTTTATTCCTGTTGTTCACTGAATGTTGAACAAGGATAAAATAATATCTGGATACCGATATTACCGATACAATTAGGTGATGTTTCTTAGTGCCGTTGGCAGCCCTGCTCTATTTGGTTAGAGCTCGTGGTGCTCATGCCCTGTCCGTACTTGTCCGTGGTATAACGGCATAACGGCGCGTGCTGATATTTTTGTTCACAAAGGTAAACCATTTCTGATTACTGTCATATAATCATAGGAATACTCACAAGGTTTATTCTTCTATAATCGTTTTAATTTTCTATAATCTCGTTTAACTTTCGACTTAACACAATTTTCTTCGCAGGCATCAACGATAATGATAATAACTATTGACTAACAACTAATGCGTCACATGTTTAATACATTAATATTGGTTAATTTGTACTAATCTATTTAAGTTTGCTGTATGCAAAATTTTAAATATCTTATGAGCTGTTTGTCATAAGGTATGTGTATCTTTATATATGTGCGTCATTTATGTTTATAGTGTAATTATATGGTTTGTTTTCTGTTCCTGTACTAGACTGCACTAAAACTCTTTTTCTCGCTTTCAACAAAAATTAAACATATGCCTGTCTCACTTTAAGTTTCAACAGTGTACACTACTACACTGGTTCAGCCACAAAAAAACAGACCTATTATATTAAGTGGATGTATGTATAATTATATTTTTACTTCTATTTGCAATCATAAGAATAAGAATTGTAGGAATGATAATTAATTGCATTAATATAAAAATGATATTAAATATTAGTAACATTAGTCTATATTAAAAAATATGTCTTCTTTATTTACAGTTATAATTTCTTTATTTACAGTTAAAATCTTTATTTAATTATAATTTAAAATCTTTATTTAGTTATAATTTCTGTTATTTCTCAAACATTTTAATAATCAAAAAATTAAGCGTAATAAATATACTTTCTATTTTTGTTACTATTTTTTCTAGCACTGGAGAGATTTACTGGTCGTCAGTGCATGACTAACAAGATATGCGTATTCTTTTGTGAATTGTGTGTTTCTCTCCAAAACTTTCATTTTATCCTGTATGTATTCATTTCAATATTCTATTCGCAGAATAATGTAAACAAAATAAGTAAGCAACAATATATTTCAGTTAACGGTAGATAGTTAATATTGTTAATAATGGATGCATTCAGTAAAAAGCGCTTTATAAATACATTAATAATACATTTTATAATTTAAAGTTATAAAAAGCAATCATTTTAAATATCATCAAGCATCGTTTTATTAATTATAAAGAACTGATAACATCTATATTATTAATTTTTTAATTTAATATAAAAGTTTCTGATTGGTTGAGCGCAAAAATTCTGAAATTTGAATACCATCTGATGTGAGTGGAATGTAGATGTATGCTATCGGAATGTGTGATAACGAGATCTTTCTTATCCTTATTCCTTTTATAAAGTGCTGTAATCTTTAATTTTAGTTCGGACCTGCAACAGATTTTTAAACCTTAAGAAATAGATCGATCACAGTTAACTCAATTATTCTCCTCGCATTTGACTGTAATTGGTCAATTTCTTATATGGCTTAAAGTTTAAAACAACTATTGTAGATCCGGACTTAATATTATACTGAATACAGTCATTTTTCTATCAGTTGATTGCAAGATTAATACTAATTTGGTAATTTTATTTAAATTTTTGTATTCTAGTGACACCTAAAAAAAAAAGTATTCTTTGGAAGTACTTTATTCGAACAGAAATTGGAGGCCGATGTAAAATGTGCCAAACAGAAGTGAAAACTAGTGGAAATACTACTAACTTTGATCAATCATTTGAAAAGAAAACATAAGAAGGTGTTAAAGGAAACAAGCCAAATAAATAAGTTAAAAAAACGGAGAATGCAATGTAAAAATGTAATTTCAAATTTTATGAAAATATAAAATATACGTTAAATGTGTATTTGTACAAGTATTTATTAATTAATAAAATTAATTTTTTTAATTAATTTAAGGATAATACTAGTGAAGTTGAAGATAATCCTACAACAGATATAGAGATAGTATCATCACCCGGTTCATCCTCTTCAAGTTTCTCTGGTCAGTCTGGTCTCTCAATAATATCTGAAGAATCAGATAAATTATGTTCTACATCATGTTCTTCAATGATACTTCAATCACCAACCTCTTCAAGTTCAAGTAGAAAAAGAGAATTAATAGAAAGAAAAACAAAATCTCTTCAACCAAAAATTAATGAAACATTATCAAAAATAAAAGATTACGAAGGTAAAAAAAATTATTAAAAAATGGAAAGCATACATTTAAATTTTAGACACTCGATATCTCGATTAGATTAGACACAACTGCTCATAGATACACATATTGTCGAAAAAAGCGGGTAAAATCGATGAATAAGACACAACTTTAAGATCTTTCAATGTCCTTTATGAAATATCTTAAAGGTGAAAAGTTGTGTATCGTTTTGTAATTTTCGAGTTTTTTTTATTTAATTAATCAAAAAATTCTAAAGAATTCTTTAAAGATATCTTAAAAAAGTTGTTTTATGTGTTGATTTTAAACGTTCTGTTCACTGGTTAAATTTAACCAAAGAAACGCGAAAATTGCAAAATGATACAGGACTGTTCGACTTATTGTTAGTTTAATCCGCTCTATCCCTCTTCTCACAAGAGCTTATGCAATCATTACTGGACACATTATATACAATATATACACATTACCGTGTATATTTTCAATTCCTAGATTTTTATATATATTTATATTTTTATAAAATTCTTAGATTTTCATTTATATTTTTGTTAGATGGAGGTGAGAAAAGTGGTCGAATAACAAATTATCTTCTTTATATGATTGCAAAAGATAATATGCCGCTTAATACTGTAGAGAAAGATGGTTTCCAACGTTTCGTAAAAACGGCTTTACCTCTTTATGAAATTCCTGGAAGAAAAAAAATAACAACTTTAATGAGAGAAAAATATGAATTTCTTACAAATATAACAAAAACCATATTATCTACAATTAAGCATTTTTGACTTACAACAGACGTGTGGACGGACACTCTTAATACCAGAAGTTATTTGGGAATGACAGTGCATTTTATTTTAAAAGGAAAACTGACCTCTGTAATTATTGGTGTTACTGAATTAACGGAAAGACACACGTCAGATTACCTCGGACAATGGCTTTCACATATATGTACTGAATGGCGTATTGAGAAGGATAATATTGTAGCTATCGTAACAGATAATGGAGCTAATATTGTCAAAGCAATTACTGTCATTTTTTGAAAGAACAAACACTTAACTTGTTTTGCTCACACATTGAATTTGGTTGCAACAACATTATTAAAAGATAATGAAATTAATACTTTCTGTGGAAAGATAAAAACACTAATTACATTTTTTAAATAGTCCGTTGTTGCTGCAGATGAATTACGAAAACATGAAACAAAAAAATTCAATGTGTTCCCACACGCTGGAATTCATTATACTATATGTTAGAACGATTTATAGAATTATCCGAAGGTATCACTTTGACATTATTAAAATTTCCAAAAGCACCTTCCATGTTAACAGCTACAGAATTGGAGCTTGCCAAAGACATAATTCGAGTAATGAGTCCTCTTGAAGCTATTACAAAAGAGATTTGTGGCGAACATTGTGTCACAGGAAGCAAAGTAATACCATTAATAAATTGCTTAAAAAAGAAAATTGAAAGATTAAGTATTGAATTCACTTCTACCGTAGCTTTGAAGCTACTTGAATCACTCTCTACTATCATTGATATTCGATTTGGAACAGTGGAAGAAATTACTATTTTAGCTATATCTACCATTCTGGACCCTCGTTTTAAAAAATTGCATTTTAATGATAATTATGCCTGTTCACAGGCAATTAATAAGATAGCCCAGCAGATGGAATCTTTAAATAACAATACATCCAAAGAAGTAAGTGTGCCAACAGTGACTCAAGAAAATGCTAGTTTTTCGAATGACTTATGGTCAGTTCATAATTATCTCGTTAATAAAAGTCGACTTGATGAACTTCATCGTGATTTTAACGAAATTCCGACTGACTTAAAGCATTATCTTAATCAACCAACAATTCCATTAAGTGAAGATCCAATAGATTACTGGTGCAATAAATCAATATATCCGTCTTTGACATTAATTGCGAAAAAATATTTATTAATTGTAGCTACTTCTGTGCCATCGGAAAGAATATTTTTAAAAGCAGGAAATATTGTAACTGAAAATCGTAACAGACTATCACCGAAACATTTGCAAGAAATATTGTTCTTAAATTCTCTCTCATTCGATGAATGGAAAATAAATCAGTAACTGATCAGTATTATCAGTAACTAAAATAATACGTTATCGGCCGATTATATTTACTTGTTTTTTAAAATAAATCAGTAATGGAAAATAAATAACAATAACGGATAACATCTTAGTGTGTGTCTTTTTCATTTCCTTATTTTTACCTTCCATTTATTTTATCCACTATCGTGGATTCTGTATCGTACTTACATCGTTCAATCGTTGTCAGATTTATCTTATACATAAGTATTCTTATAAGTATTCTTATAATTATAGGCATTTAAAAATTTAAAAAGTCGTATATTTTCATATAATAATTTTTATTGTGTTTTGTTGCACTATTAAACAAATATGATTTATTATATATATATATATAATAAAAAATACTTAATATTTTCTTTTAGAACTCTTTTTACCTTAGAACTATTATTATATTGAAAATAAATGTTTTATGTCGTGTTCCAAAGAATTTAATGTTATAATACCATTATTGTGCCTACACTGCCTACATTTACAGATACTGGTTAACATTAATCGGGTTTATATACGATATTTTACCGATTGTTCAACTACTGTCTATTGACAGATAACATACTGATTTTTATATAAGCGAATAATTTTTAATTTTTAACATGTCGACGTGATTTTCATTGTTTTATACATATTTTGACTTCATGACTGTACTGATTTCCTATTCATTGCTAAAAAACAATCTAACTTTTTGTCAAGATTTGAGGATGAAGTAGCTGCCACTCTCGGGTCCAGTCATAGAAGAAATCTATTTCCTGTAATTTATTGTTCAGATCACTGATGATGGCTCAGAGTGAAGCCGAAACGTCTGAAATATTATTATAAGTATTTTTTAATAAAACATTAATTATTGACTCGCACAAAGAACCGCTGTATGACTCTCATTAGCCCGTTTTGTTTATTTATATTTTGATATTTTATCGAATCTATGTTAGCAATTTATCATATTTGGGGCAAAATTTCTCAAGTGTACCAGGACAAAAAATTAAAGTTATCCGATTTGGGTCAAAGTTGGTAGAGTTGCAGTCCTATATGATGGTAGTTCACATACCAAAAATTTTTTCGATTCCTCAAATATTGGCCGAGATAGAGGGGGTGCAATTCTTGTGCTTTTGACGGGAGCGGATGTATTCAATCGCGCGTAACTTTCATTCTACTGCTCTTATCAAAATAGTGACCAGAATCTTTTTTATAGATTATTTCACGGTCTTTCCGATGGTTATGGTCAATTGTATTAAAAGTAAAAATTTAACCCTTTTTTAATGAAATAAATAATTAATTCGCCGTTTTTTTTATGTTCCACCCATTTTCGTGCTTCAAAATTATTAATAAATGAAAGCTGAGGATTTTTTCTATAAGACTACCAACTTTCAAAGATGCTTTTTTTGTTGTTTCCAAGTAATCGTAAAATTAATGAATCGCTGCGCTACTTCGAGCGAGACAACTTCGCGCGCATCGTCGTATCACATCGCACAATTAACGTGCCGTGTTAGTGTTTAATTTTTACCACTAGATGGCAATTGTTCTCGCAAAAAAAAGTGACTCCTCTGTAATAGAAAGGGCAATGCATTTTGAAACTAACACTATAGTGGATCTGATATTAAAGCATTTCAATTAGAGATGCGCACGAGACGAGACGAGACGAGATTTGGGCAATCTCGATCTCGATCTCGCAAATATCTCTGTATATGCATCTCGATCTCGAATTTTCGAGAATCTCAATATCTAATCTCGATCTCGATTTCGAATCTCATCGAGATCTCGTCGAGGTCTCGTCAAGATTAATAGAAAATAGTTTAGAAAATACAGAATTGTTAAAAATTTAAAGTTTTTTAAATTTTTAAGAATTCTGTACTTTTTAAACTATTTTCCGCCAATCTCGACGAGATCTCGACGAGATTCGAAATCAAGATGTAGATTAGATATTGAAATTCTCGAAAATTCGAGATCGAGATGCATATACCGAGGTATTTGCGAGATCGAGATCGAGATTGCCCAAATCTCGTCTCGTCTCGTCTCGTGCGCATCTCTAATTGAAATGCTTTAATATCAGATCCACTATAGTGTTAGTCTCAAAATGCAATGCCCTTTCTATTACAGAGGAGTCACTTTTTTTTTTTGCGAGAACAATTGCCATCTAGTGGTAAAAATTAAACACTAACACGGCACGTTAATTGTGCGATGTGATACGACGATGCGCGCGTCAGTTGTCTCGCTCGAAGTAGCGCAGCGATTCATTAATTTTACGATTACTTGGAAACAACAAAAAAAACATCTTTGAAAGTTGGTAGCCTTATAGAAAAAATCCTCAGCTTTCATTTAAAAATAATTTTGAAGCACGAAAATGGGTGGAACATAAAAAAAAAACGGCGAATTAATTACTTATTTCATTAAAAAAGGGTTAAATTTTTACTTTTAATACAATTGACCATAACCATCGGAAAGACCGTGAAATAATCTATAAAAAAGATTCTGGTCACTATTTTGATAAGAGCAGTAGAATGAAAGTTACGCGCGATTAAAGACATCCGCTCCCGTCAAAAGCACAAGAATTGCATCCCCTCTATCTCGGCCTATATTTGAGGAAAAAATTTTTGGTATGTGAACTACCATCATATAGGACAGCAACTTTACCAACTTTGACCCAAATCGGATAACTTTAATTTTTTGTCCTGGTACACTTGAGAAATTTTGCCCCATTTATGTCATAACTACAGTATAATATTATTATAGATAATTAATTAAACCTAAATTTTTATTTTAAATTAAAAATTTTAAAATTATTTTACTCGGAGGTCCCCCCGAAAGGGTTCCCACCTTGAAGTAGTCGCGGGACGCCTGGGGTGCCCGTGGTCCGCACTCCCCGCGGTGAATGACACGAGGCCCATATTTGACCTGCGAAAGCAGGTACGGGGCCTCGAGGTAGAAAAACCGACGGGGGGAACATTTGACCACATTCAGGTACGCCTGGTGTTCTCGGGGGCTGCGGGCTCCCGGGCCGGGGCGGGTGGTGGGGCTTATGGTCGCAAACGGGGTCCTCCCGCTCAGGGGGGGGCACGTGGGCGGCCAACTAAGAGGAACCCCCCAAGCTAGGGTGTGAGCTACCGTGCCTGGAGCTGCATGGCGCAGGGGGAGCTGCGTCGCAAACGGTGCCTCCTGGATACCGGGCGAACTCCAGGAGTACGGAGCCAAGCCCCGGGCATTCGCGGCTCTGCCCGGGTGAGATCGCGCGACCGCGGTACTCGTGGGATCAAAATGGAGACCAATAATATTAAAACAAACTTTAACAAAGTCCTCCAGGGGGTGGCTTCTCTAGGAAGCGAACAACCGGAGGAGAATAAAGCAGCTAGTGAGGATCTACCTAAGACCCGCATTCGCTACAGTGGGGCTGCAAGGCGCCGCTACAATAAGGAGAAGGCGAGGTCTGAAAAAGCCATCTCTCCTTCTCCTACAAATACCCCTACTCCGCCGGGCGGAGAGGGTGGTGCGGCGGTGGGAACGCAGAAGCGTGCCAGACCGGTGCACCAGACGCCTAGTCCGACTGAGTATCGCCCGGGCAAGAGACCCAAGGTCACTGACCAAGGGTCGTATGCCCGGACGACTAAGGGCATGATCAGGATGGCCTTTGTTCCAGAAGGCTATCCTGAGAAAAAACTGGGTTCCAGTGAGGGGGGGGAGATCAGGCGACTGGTCAGGGAGCACATCCTCGAACTTCCCGAGGATGGGCTGGCGCCCACCTTCACTGGCACCTGGGAGAGGGATGGCGCAGTTATTTTCAACTGCGCCAACCAGCAGACGGTGGATTGGCTGAAAAGCCTTTCCACCGTGATTAAGATCGGAGGCACTGCTCTGCATGTGCTACCGGCCGGGGAGCTACCTAAGCGCCATCGGGTGGTGGTACATGTGGAGGAGTCAGATTTGGCTGTCGAGGAAGCTATAAAGCTTCTCGACAGACAAAACACGGGTCTGGGCGCCAGGGAGTGGGTCGTCGTTAGGGGGAGCGAAAGTAGGGACGCGAAAAGCGCCCACTTCGCTGCTCTGATCGGCGATCGCTCGCTGGAGGTCCTAAAGACCTGTGGTTTTAAACCCTTCTGCGGGCTGGGTCGGGCAACCGTAAGGTTGCTTGACAAAGAACGCAAGGAGGGAGTGACTGCCGGTGCGAGCGGGTCAGCTTAGAAATGGCGGGACTCGCAGTACCAATAGTACAAATTAACTTGCATCACAGCAAAGGCGCCTCGGCGATTTTAGCCAGGAGCATGGCTGTGATGCAGACAGCAATAGCAATAATTCAGGAGCCTTGGCTCCTGAATAACGCTATAATGGGTCTGAGTGGCTGTGGTACTATTTATAAAGCAGTCACTCAGAACAAAATTAGGACCTGTATTGTAACTAAGGGACTAAATGCTATTTTTATGTCACAGCTCAGCGACGGAGACACCACTGTTATACGGACAAGGGTGGACTACGACGAGGACAAGTACTTGGATCTACTCATAGGGTCAGTTTACATGCCCTATGACTCCCAAGAAGAACCACCACCTAAAAAGGTAAGAGAATTGGTGTCCTACGCGAAGGAGAGGGGGCTTGAACTCCTATTGGGCTGTGATGCAAACTCCCACCATGTAGGGTGGGGGAGCACGAACATAAACCCGAGGGGAGAGAGCCTCCACAAATTCATTATGGACGCCGGTCTGATGATCCTTAACAGAGGAACGGTACCCACCTTCATGGACTGCAGAAGACAAGAGGTACTAGACATCACCATCAGTACTGGGGGAGTGGCGGACCTGGTGCGGGACTGGAGGGTCTCTGGAGAGCCCTCGGGTTCTGACCACAGGCAGGTTCGCTACAATCTCAGACATATGGGGAATAAAGAATGGGGTCGAAACCCTAGGACTACAAACTGGGAGGGCTATAGGATGGACCTGGAGGCCATCCTGAAGAAAGCCCCGAACAGATTTCACTCAGAAGAAAATCTAGAATACGCGGCG